TTTGTTTTTGTTTTTTGTTTTGTGTTTTTTTGATGGCTGTATAGTAAGGAATAAAAGGAAAACTTAACATGAAATAACTATGTATAATCTTTGCTACAATACAAGGTGGAACATCTAAAAATAGGTAGTGTAACAAGCTGTTTACGCACCTATAATAGACTCACAGCTGAGCATTTCGCCATAGGTTGACCCCTTTGGCAAAACAAACAAAAAAGGAATTGGTTTCGGTTTTGTACACAGAAAGGGAACTAATTCTTACGGCACCAAGCTCTTTCAAAAATGCTATTCTGTTTTTGTTTATTTATTCATTTTCTGGGGCTTCCAAAAAGATTTGAAGCCACTTATGAAAGCAAACATGAAACAAATAGAAGAGAAAAAGAGATGAAGAAATGAAGACCAAAGGATAAATTAGGGTAGAGAAACAAATTTGAGGGTAAAGCTGGTTACAAAGAAATACAGACCATAAGATGGGGCTACCCAATTGCTAGTGGTTAGATGCAAATTAGGCTCTAAGTGTCCTGTAGTCCAAAGCACAGAGTGGGTAATCATTAGTTGGAGGAAAAAGTGTCTTTAGGATATCCATTGCTCCAGAGAAGCATGGATTTCCCAAGTCTGGAGCCTGACAGAAATTCTCCTGCAACTCTTAGGGTGGTTCTGAGAGGAATGGTGAACAGCGGTCTTAGTGGCATCACAGTAACAGTGACACAGTTCCCTACCTTACTTCTTACAGCAACCTTTGGCTCAAGCCTAGGACGACATGCCCTTACCAGGAAAGTGTGCCTGATCCTGATTCTGGAATGCAATCCCTTGAACACCCCATGCATCTTGGACCGACTAGCTTGATGGTGGGGAAGGAAGGGGAGGGGGGCACACCCAAAATGTCTGGATTCATTTCTCAGTCATATTAAATGCATTTCCTCTTTGAGAAACATAACAAAACCATGGTCTCTCTTCTGAAACTTCAAAATAAATATTGTACATAAAAACTAATTTAAAAAGTTACAACGTGCAAAGTGCTCTTTGCAAACTATAGGGACTCTTCTGGTGATCCTCACATTGAGAACTAGATAGAATCTAGGTGGAAATATTGTATTCTTTTCAGTTTCAACTGTTACTAACAAACAAAGAAGTAAGACTCCAGGGTAAAATTAACCTACCTGAGTTATGTCAGTGTGGACTGAGGTTGAACTACTGTTATTTCATTTGGTGACATTTGGTGACTTGCCCAAGGTCACAGTCAGAAAGCTGCAGGGCAACACCTTGAACGGAAGTGCTCTGGTCCACAGGCTGGCCATCCAACCTCTATCCTAGAGAACCTTTCAGCTGTAGCTGCCTTGTTGTATTCCTATGCCCACGTTTTTTCTAATTCCTGGGACCCACAATACACTGAGAGCTAAAATTAAATTATTATTACTAAATATTGGACGTGTTGATTCCAAATATTTGGAGTTGGTGGATCCTTTGGGGAATGTGATAGAAGCCAGGCATGCTTGGTGTGGGAGTGTACATGTGCATAAAACCTTGCAGACAAGTTCAGAGAGCTCCTAGACCCCATGAAACCCATCAAGGGTCTATGGTCTTGGAGGTCTGAACTCCTGACTTCATCCATTAAGCGCAGACCACCTCGTATCTTTTAGACACTACAGAAATCTGCACAAACATTTCCTGAGCCCGAGCAACCCTGAGAGTGAGGACTTCCTTAAACTCTGTACCCGAGGTGACTCGCTCGTTTCACCCGGGTCGTAACCTAGCAGTTCAGATACCAAGGTATGTGAAGAAGTCCGCAGAAAGAGGTAAGGACAAGGCACCCAAGAGAACCTCTTTATATGACATGGTTTTGAGCATCAGCCCTCTGGTGAGAAAGCACACAGTGGCCTGTGGTGAGCCGAGGTCCTGCAGGGTCAGCAGGGACCAATGCAGAGCTTCTTCTATGCTCTAATCATCCTGCTCTATCTAGTTCTCATATCTGGGCTTAAAGCTGAGTGCACCTGCTCCCAACTTACAGAGACCTGGGTCCTTTGCTCACGCTCATCTAGCTGGAAGTGACAGAACCAGGTCCTAGAGAAAAACTGCCTGGCCCCAAGACCCATCGTCTTCCTCTGGACGATACTGCACCTTGCAGCTAGCGGAACATGCCAGAGACCTAGTGACAACCACCTTCTTCCACAGGGGCCCCCATTAAAACCCTGGGTGTGGTGATGGCACCAAAGCTCACTGTGCCTAAGGGTGGTCACCATGCCTAAGGGTGGTCACTGCGCCTAAGGATGGTCGTTAAGTCTTACATGCATTTCTGCCTTCAAGCTTTCTTCCTTCTTGCCCTTGTTCCTTTCCCTCAAGAACCATTTCACAGGGCATCCACCCTGCTCCAGATACTTTCCTGTGCTCTGGGACCCAGGGGAGGATGTAAGAGGCCCACCTCCCTATTCTGGGGGAGTACAGATCCAGAACTCCTGCAAACAAGGAGCTCTCAGCATCTGTTGGAAGTTCACGGGGACACAGGGATAGATTTGGGCACTGGGGACAGAAGAGAAGGCAGTGGCTTTGATCCTAGGAGTTAGAACAGGTGGGACTTGCCCTGATGAGAAGGTAGGGAGGGGGCCCCAGGCTGAGGGAACAGGAGGTGCATGGTCTGGACCTTTCCAGAGCAGCATGGGGCTGACTTAGACAAAGCAGATGGGCTGGTAGTGGGGGAACAGGAGCTGTGACAGGAAAAGGACCCGAGACCCAGTGGTAATCGCTGCTCTCCCTTCTGATCTTCATCTAACTGTTCTGATTTTCATCTAAGTGCTGTCTTCCTACAGCTTCATGATTCTTTCTTCTTTCTCTAATCTGTCTGGGACATCACCCGTGAACCAGAGCACACCTGCTCTGCTGGGCCTGTTGGGTGGGTGGGGGTGGGTAAGGGATGTGTTGGAGGGGTGGGGTCAGGTTGCTCTGGCTCCACTGCTACCTCCCCACACACGTGACCCTTACAAGCAAGGATGCTGGCCTCTGGCGGCTCTGTTCGGCTGCTGCAGACTTGAGGGTGGCACAGTGGGCTCCCAGGGAATTGGTTCCCGGCTTGGCTCACAGCTTCTTGGCTGGCCACAGGTTCTGTGGGGATGCTGGGCCCAGAGGATGGCAGATTCCATCCTGGTATTCCACACAGGGTCAGGGCCCTCACTTGCCTCCGTTCTGGCCTTCTGCTTCATCACCAAGGAGGAGGTCAGGTTTGGGTGTACTTAGAGGACTGTGAGCCTGAACCAGCATAGTGAGCATTGCTGGGCAGGCAGAGGAGGGGGCACTTGGCCCTAAAGCCCCTGACATGTAGTAAGGGCTCAAAAACTGTTCTGAATAAAAGAATACATGAATGACGAGAAATGCCACAAAGAGAAATAAATATAAGGGCACCTGAGTGGCTCAGCTGGCTAGGCCTTGCTTTCGGCTCACGTCATGATCTTAGGGTCCCGGGATTGAGCCCTGCATTGGGCTCTCTGCTCAGTGGGGAGTCTGCTTCTTCCTCTCCCTCTGTGCACTCTCTTTCTCTTAAATAAATAAATAAATAAATAAAATCTTTAAAAAGAGAGAGAGACATATAGAACTTTCTAGGACTAAGGTGGGGGTTGGGGGAGACAATGGTAAAAAATGCAAAAGGCCTGTTGTGTTCCAGAAAGTTCAAAGAGAGGGCAGGAACCACCATGTCATGGATTCCAGTTTTCCCAAAGCAGGCTCACCTTTTGACCACATCTGCTCTGAGGCAGGATGAGTATAATCTTTTTTAGCTTTTTATTTTGGAATAATTTTAGGTTTACAGAAAAGTTACAAAGATAGCCTGGAGACTTCATATATACCCTGCACTCAGTTCCCCCTAATATTACTGTCTTACTTAACCACGGTACATTTGCCAGAACGAGGAAACCCTCATTGACACAATGGTATTAAACTCCAGACTTTATTTAGATTTTACCTATTTTTTCATTAATGACTTTTTCCCCCTAGGACCCACTCCAATCCCAGATGTGAGTTTTGAATTTAGTTGTCATGTCTCCTTACTCTCCTCTGACGTCTGTTTCCCCATATTTCCTCCTTTTCCATAACCTTGACAATGGCAAAGGTCAAGTATTCTGTAGACTTTCCCTCACTTTGGGTTTGTTTGATGTTTTTTCATGATGAGATCAGGGCTAAGGGTTTGGGGGAAGAACAGCACAGAGGGGAAGTACTTTCTCTTTGCACCATAACCAAAGTTATATAATACAACACGACTTATCCCTCGAGACGTCAACCTTGATTCACCTGATTCAGGTGGTGTCTGCCAGCATACTCCATTATGGAGTTACTGTTCTTCCGTTTCCATATTTTATTCTAACTCCCTTCGGCACCAAAGGTGAGAGGAATCAAACTCCATCCAGGAAGGAGAAGTATCTACATATATCATGCACAATTTTTCTCTCTAACTGTGGCAGCACGATGATAACCATTCTATAGTCCTTTGATTGTGTGGACAGTTGATGGTGAAAGCAGTGGCCAATTAGAAAATGACTGGAACAGTTGTCAAAACCCTAGAATTTTAAAACCCCTCCCAAAATGTGTTGTCAACTATTCATTCCTTCTCAGAAACTGATCGCTTAGCCCAAAAAGTAATCATTAAACCTATTCTATCACGCTACCCCTGATGTCTGAAAAATGGAAAACCTTGTTTAAAAACAAGCAAAATATAAAGAGGGCAACAATCAATCATTTGCCTTGAGCCAGACACTCCCCATACATCCCTGCTAGCCTCTGCCATGTCTGCCTCTTAGGTACCATTACCCTTGTTTATAGAGATGCTGAATAACTTGCCAGGAGCCGCATGGCCGGCATGCATGTGCCCACCCCCTTTCCTACCCCACAGTCTTCTCCTGTCTTTCCTCTGTGGCACATTCACTGGCTTTTCCAGCTTAGAAAGCCCAAGAAACAAGATATCCCTGGATGGATGAGCTTTTATAAATCAAAAACAAAACAAAACAAAGATGCAGTCTTACCTTGGTAAGGCTCAGTAGCTTGTCACCATAACTTTTTCAATCCCATCACCCTCGTGATGCCGCAGCCTTCTAGTGATAACCAGCAACTCCTGATACAATCCCAAAGAAAAAGCCCATTGTGGTTGTCTCAATCGGCTCCCGTAGCTTGTGGCTTCCTGCTGGCGGCAAGCACCAGCAGAGGTGGCATGCTCCCCGGTCTGTGGTCAGAGCTTCACCAGCTTCCTCCAAGGAGCCCCGCCCCTCCCATGGAACACTTTGAAGGCGTCTGTGGCTTCACTGGGTCCAGTGGGCACCGCTGACCCAGAAAAGCCTGGGAGGAAGGACCACAAGCAGCTGGTCTTTCTCAGACCCTGGGCCACACTGGTTCCAATGACCCTCTGCTACTAGAAAGTTTTCTCATGGGGGTTTGGTTTAATGACATGGGTGGCGCTTTCCCGCACCAGACGTGGCAGAGTTAGTAAACCTCCAAGCTAACTCTACAAGGTATTTCTCTCTGCCTTGCAGCATTTATCTGCAAGACAAGAAAGAGGTTGGTCTCTGCTGTCTTTTGCCATGTGTGTGAGCCTGGGCAGCTGTTCTCTCAGCCTTGTTGATTTTGTCTTGTCTTCCGAATAGTGCTGATAATACCTAGCCCAGAGATACCATGGGCACAAATGACAGAATGGGTGTGATGGGCACAGAATTGCCTCTCAACAAATGCTAATTCTCATTTAAAAAAAAATAGCAGTCTAAGCAGTCATTGATTCTGATCACAGAGCCTCTTCCATTGTCCCACTGCACTTGGCTCTGAAAACTCAGGGGTGCAGAGAATGATAGAAGTGATTGGGAAAGGACCCTATCATCTGGAGTGGTGAGGTACTGTCCTGTACTATACCAGCTGAGGAAACAACAGGACCAAGAATATTGCTGAGACAACCTTAGGAGAACTGCTGGTCCAGCCAGACATGGTAAGCCGCTGGTCACTTGCTTTCTGATCGAGGGACCAAAGGGAGACCATGGACTTGCTCCTCTCCTGCCTTTATGTCTGGGAACATTGGCAGGGATGGAGTTCAGACAGGCTTGCTTCTACTCCTGGCCTGGAACCACAGTCCAGAATCTCAGTTTCCTCATGGATTTTAGGACTAAGACAGTAATTTGCTGTGAATTTTGGGTAAGAAAGAGCTTTTTGCAGATGTTCATAGCAACAGCCGCAGCAACGCGGAGTTTTTGGGTTCCACGGCTCTTTGAAAACAACCTACCTGATTTCCCCAAAAGTTTTTTGCACAGTAAATGGATTAACACATAAAAATTTGTATTACAGTGTTTAGTACATAATAAACTCCACATAACTTGTAGCTGATGTGAATACGTCTAATCTAAGTCCCAAACCTAATCCTTAACACTGATTTGTCTTCTTCTGTCCTTGGTAGTGAAGAGCCTGGAACAGTGTCCCGAACGAGTTGTGCTCAGTGAATCATAGCTCTTATTAATTTATTATTATATTCATCTCCTGACACCTGAGAGTCCGATCTAAGCATTAAATACAATTTGAAAGAATCCCAAACTCCTTAAACTCTTGATCTAAAGACTTGCTGACTTGAGATGAGATTGTTTAGCTTTGTTATTTCAATTCAATTAATACAACAAACTTTTGTGAACGTTTGCTCTGTGTTAAGCACATGCCAGAGGCTCGGGGTTGAGGTATAAATAAGCATGATCTTCCCTTGAGGGAGTCAGCCTAGGGAGACTGGAAAGGATGTCTGGTAGATAGACATAATAATGTGGGGTGGGAAATGGGGCCACAGAATCCCAACAAGGCACAGTATTAGAACAGGGGCAGAAGCAATAGGAACATCAGGGATTATTGGAAGAAGTTACCAAGCAGATGGCTTTGAACATGGTTTGTGACTAAGAATCTTTCAAACTCTCAGAGGCAGATACTTAGGTTGAATCTTTTACTGAACAAGCATCCAAATGATGCTGCCTGAGTTATGTACCATTATGTCTAATTAAATAAATGACTAAACAAGTGACTTTTGGACAAATTATATACTTGCACCTGAGCACATTAAAAGTGTAGTGGGGAGCAGGAAATCTACCTTCCTAAGGAGAAAATCTATTTTCCTCTGACTTTGGCTCATCTGTTCAAAATTGGAGCTCAAGGGGAGGTGAATGTCTGAAGGAAAGGGAGGGTAAGCTAGCCTTTGTGTGGTCTGGAAAAAAAGTGTCACCTTTCTATCTATGTCCAATAGACAGGGGTCGGAAAAAAACAAAAATGGATTCTAGCAGCCACTCAGAAAAGAACGAGGAAATGACCTTGCTCTTGGGTTTCACTTGTCTGAGCAGAAGTGAAAGTTAATTTCAGCCATTTTCACCCTCACAGAGTCATAGAATCCATGAGAAAGGCAGAGAGGAGACAGGGGCAGGACCCAAGGGAGAAGATAGGAAGCTGTGAAATGTGTAAGGTGAGGCTAGGAGTATCCTTTTTAGACACGTTTGTTAAAGAACCTTAGAGAGGGCTCTTATGGCTACACTAAGATTGGACTCTGAAACCCCAGTCTAATGTTCAGCCTCATTGGCTCTCCCATTTATTTTTGCACTTTTGAGGTGACTTATGCAAAATTTGGAGCTCTCCTTCCATGTTGGTTGTGCCAACCTCTTGACACCAGTACATTTCTGATCAAAATCAAAACCAAGGGCGGTAAAATATTTGAGTAGAAGAAACATTAAAGTAATCTAGTTGAAAATTCACTGGAGGAGTGATGGTGTGAGAAGCAATCACCCTTTGAAGAAAACAAGCAAAAAACTAGACAAAGATGTCAAAACCAACCATTTCAGGGCACTAGAAAATGACCAAAGCCAAACAACAAATGAAGAAATGTTTAATATTGAAAAACTGCTACTGCATTAGAATAGCCATGAGTTTGTGGTCTTCTTGCTTACAGGTTCAACCCCCTCCTCCTACCCCTTAGCCTGAGTTGTGAGAACCACAGCTTTTCCAATGGGAGTGAATAGTGGGCTTGGTTTGAGAGCTGTTAGTTAGTGAAAACCAGTTGGCTTACCAGCTAGTGGTGACAGCTATGTCTGTGATGGGGAGATGAAAATCTGCAGTTTTATGGGTTAAAGGTCATGGAATCAGTTCTAGATAGGAAGTGAAAATCTGCAGCTTTACTTGCTTGAGGTTATAGCCTCTGTTCAGAGTAGGCAGAAAATCACCCAGAAAGATAACGGGGGAGATCCTGAAAGTAAGAGAGTCATGAAAGGGCTGAGCTAATAAACACTCCGTACCTCTTTTACTGACTGATATAATATGCATGAGTTGGGAAGAACCAAGAGAGAGAAGCAGAAAGTGAAAACTAAAGGAAACCTAAGGGCTAACTGTAGATTTGAATTTGTTCCTCCAACCACATAAAATTGAGGCAGCAGAAGGTGGAAGGTTTGCTTTTTCAAAGTGTCTGAGCATAACTTACATTCAAATAACTGTCTGACTATTAAACAATGCAGAACCAGGGGATACCCTTAGAAAGCTAGAGTAAAAAACAAAGTAGAAGACTAAGAGATTAAAAACTGCACAGTGATATTAGGTGTTGCACACCATAGAGGAAAACAATCGAGGTGTAGATAAGTTAGTAAAACAAAACAAAACAAAAATCAACAACTTTCAGGAAAATAAAACAGAATTCAGAGTCACTACAATATCTAATTTTCAACTAAAAATTATCATACATGTCAAGAAACAGGAAACTGTGACCAGAAAAAAAAAGTCACTAGATTCTGATTCCAAATGGGCCCAGATGTTCAATTTAGACGATGAACCTCAAAGCAAATGTTATAGTTATGTTCAAGGAATTAAAGGATAATATGCTCAAAAAATGAAAGGAAATTACATTAAAGAACCAACAAAAATAGAATCTCAACAGAGAAGTGGAAATTCTAAAAAAAAGAATCAATGGAGTAGAGAGCCCTGATGCGGACCCTCAACTCTATGGTCAGTTAATCTTCGACAAAACAGGAAAAAATATACAGTGCAAAAAAGACAGTCTCTTCAATAAATGGTGCTGGGAAAACTGGGCAGCTATATGTAGAACAATGAAACTCGACCATTCTCTTACACCGTACACAAAGATAAACTCAAAATGGATAAAAGACCTCAACGTGAGACAGGAATCCATCAGAATCCTAGAGGAGAACATAGGCAGTAATCTCTTTAATATCAGCCACAGCAACTTCTTTCAAGATATGTCTCAAAAGGCAAAGGAAACAAAAGCCAAAATAAACTTTTGGGACTTCATCAAAATCAAAAGCTTCTGCACAGCAAAGGAAACAGTCCACAAAACAAAGAGGCAACCCACGGAATGGGAGAAGATATTTGCAAATGACAGTACAGACAAAAGATTGATATCCAGGATCTATAAAGAACTCTTCAAACTCAACACACACAAAACAGATAATCATATCAAAAAATGGGCAGAAAATATGAACAGACACTTCTCCAATGAAGACATACAAATGGCTATCAGACACATGAAAAAATGTTCATCATCACTAGCCATCAGGGAGATTCAAATTAAAACCACATTGAGATATCACCTTACACCAGTTAGAATGGCCAAAATTAGCAAGACAGGAAACAACATGTGTTGGAGGGGATGTGGGGAAAGGGGAACCCTCTTACACTGTTGGTGGGAATGAAAGTTGGTGCAGACTTTGGAGAACAGTGTGGAGATTCCTCAAGAAATTAAAAATAGAGCTTCCCTATGATCCCGCAATTGCACTACTGGGTATTTACCCAAAAGATACAGATGTAGGGAAAAGAAGGGCCATCTGTACCCTAATGTTTATAGCAGCCATGGCCACGGTCGCCAAACTGTGGAAAGAACCAAGATGCCCTTCAACTAACGAATGGATAAGGAAGATGTGGTCCATATACACTATGGAGTATTATGCCTTTATCAGAAAGGATGAATACCCAACTTTTGTAGCAACATGGACGGGACTGGAAGAGATTATGCTGAGTGAAATAAATCAAGCAGAGAGAGTCAATTATCATATGGTTTCATTTATTTGTGGAGCATAACAAATAGCATGGAGGACATGGGGAGTTAGGAGAAGGCATTTGGGGGAAATTGGAAGGGGAGGTGAACAATGAGAGACTATGGACTCTGAAAGACAATCTGAAGGGTTTGAAGAGGTGGGGGGGTGGGAGGTTGGGGGAACCAGGTGGTAGGTATTAGAGAGGGCATGGATTGCATGGAGCACTGGGTGTGGTACAAAAACAATGAATACTGTTATGCTGAAAATAAATTTAAAAAATGATTAAAAAAAAAGAATCAATGGATTTCCTAGAGCTGAAAACTACAAAACTAACATTGAAAAT